AAATAATTCCCAGGGGATTATCATGGGCAAGGGATCAATCCTTATCACAGTTTGGATGAAGCCAACCTGTTCTTGAAGATATGGCTAGACCACACCAGTTGGCCTCATGACCGGAGAAGGAGCCTTCACCATGTCTAATTTACTATATAGATGTTATAATATTGATTGGATGTAACCTCTAGAGGATTAGATGTGGAAAAGAATAGGTTTGCCAGAAGTGATTTTGGCTGCTTGGGGAAGGTCTGAACCAACCCAATTAGCTGTCTCCCAGGAGGGATTAGGGATCCATAACAGGTTTCAGCCATGCAGGCATTAGGTCATTTCCCTTAGGTCAGGATCAGCCTCATGACAATTCTTTGTTCTCATGACATAACCAGAACAGACTGGGGATCTCTTTGGCTGGAGTCAAAGGCCACGTGCAAGAAACACTTTAATTGCATAGCAGGCTAGTGGACTTTGAGGTACAGGAGATATCTCTTCTAGATCTCTAAGTATGTCTAGTCTGGGAGAGGTGATTTTGTTTTCTCAGATCGTGGAGTGATTTGGTGGGTGTCCTGTATTCATACTCTGGACAGATTCTGTGATCCATAATTGTGTGATGAAATGAAATTGCAGCTGCAGCTTAATTCAGATATTTTAAGGCCTGTGTTTTCTTTCATATGTTGTCAGACAATATAGTAGGCACTATAAGACAGAACCAAAAAACAACAGCTACCACAGGGAACTTGCAGGGTGAAAGGAATGTACATATGGAAAAAAAATGGCTTGAGGTCCAGTGTGGGGCAATAATGAATAAATTAAAATCCATTGAACTGAGAAGTTCAATATCAGTTATAGTCAGTCTTTTATTGTGATGGAGAAGACAGATAATTGACTGTAAGTCTTGCTGATGTAAATCTTTTAAAGTACATGAGCAACAAGTCCACTGAGAATGGGGCCTATTTTGTGGATGGATAGGTTATGGAAGAAGCACAATTAAGAGATGGAAACAGCATGCCTGGTTATTAAGGATAGAATGAATGCATGAAAAATGAGGGCAAAAATAAAGGCATGTTGTGGTGAATTTAAACTGATAGGTCATGTCAGATAGTAGATTGACAGGTTAAAATTGAGATGATAAAATTTGAAGGATGGGCAAAGTGATTATTCATCCCTGCCACAGAGCACACCTTTGCCCAGATTTGGCTCATACCAACCAGTGCTTCCCTAGATAGTGTCTCCTTAGCAGGGTATGGAACAGCACAAGTCAGGGCACAATCCTAACAGACATCCAACCTGTTCTGAGGACAAAAGCTCAAAAGCTGTGCCATGCCAGTGTGATCTTGGGTGCTGGCCTGTGTCATTTCCCACTGTACATGTAGTATCTTCAGGCCTGAATGAGCCATCTGGATCTGTCAAGCTGTTTCCAACTCAGCAATGTCTCCTGATGTTTCCAAGCCTCAGTCTGGAGAACTTCAGCTCTGAAAGGTTCCTACCACAGTTTTGAGTGTCATCTGTGCAGCGTTGCACTAGAATGCATGACAGATACGTCACTTTTTTAAAAAAAGAAAACGAGATACTACATGTAAATGACAGTTTGTGCTCTCCTAATTATGCAGATCACAGCATCATTTTACTATACATTCAACTTTCACAAAGCCGACATGTCTGTGCTTTTAGAACCTTCCATTTTTTGTCACTATTTTGAGCCCTTTTGAGGCTTTTCCCGCTATTTTTTTGGTTCAGTTTCAGAGGAAGGTTCTTGCTTTCTGTTTAGATCAATCTGCTCAGTCCCTTGTCTGTCAACTGTGTATTCCATACATTATTTAAAAACTTATATTGTAAAAGATCCTATTCTCATAATCTCATCTTCGTTTGCCATCCATTGCTCACTGAAGCATTCCATGCTAAGAGTACCGTTTTCTTCTATGTCCACTAGTGTAGAATGTTCTACTAGGAGGTAGCAGAGGGCAAGCTGAGATACTTTGGATTTATGAGACAGAGAAGGTGAATGATACAAAATGATTGCACACATTCTATGACACCTGCATTTCAGAATGCGCAATAATACTGTGATAATCTACCCGACTTCATTAGTATGACATATGAAGGTTGCTGCTGTGCTTATGAATGAAGGATATGCTTTCCATTTCTGTGGGCAGTAATAAAAATTATAATTTCTAGGAGAAATTTAAACTGAATAAACAAAGATTGTCTGCTGTTTCTGAACGAATAATACAAGTTTGAAGTACGGTTCAACCTCATATGAAGATTAGCTTTGTAATACTGCAAGACCCACTTAGACTCTAGGTTAATTATGCCTCATAAGTGAAGAATACAAAAATTCAATGTCTTCAAGGACTGAAGGAACTGACAGTAGCCTTTTAAAAGACAATATAAATAATGAAATAGTGATGTGAATAGGTATAGTCATAAAATATAAAGAAATAAGTCCTCATGCTTAGGAAGTAAACTAATCACTTAGAGCTGCTCATATCCCTCATACAGATTCATAAACTTAAGGAAATCACAAAGGAATTCTAAGTTCCTTTGAAATATTTGCAATTGACCCTATTCAAAACAGAATACAGCTTTTCTGCAGGAAGAAAATTCTATCTCTTTGTGCTCTCTATAGGCTCTTCTAGACAAAAGGCTCACTGACACTAACAAATATATTCATGTAGGATAGCTGCAAGAAAGAAATTCATTCTAATCCTAACTCTACTGTAAAATTGAGACAGAAAGAGATTATTGTATTGTCCAAATTTACACAGGAATGTTTACAGCAAAGTCAGAATCTGACTTATAGATCCCATTGTATGACCTTTCCTTTAAAATTTGAAAATTAATTTTTTTTTCTTTTTTTTCTTTTTTCCTTCAACTCTTCAGACCCACAAATGTTTTGTTTTCTGTAGCCTACTCCTAACATTTTAGTCTAGTTTTAGGCAGAGCTTGTTATGGGATGCTAATTTCTTGCAAGGAAGAAATAACGTTATGCATAAATTTTATAATTGTTTCTGAATATATGTGCATGATAGACCTTTGGAATAAATTTATAGCTTTTCAAAAATACAAAACTATTGTTTCAATATAAATCATCTTTATTAACATCTACTGAAGTTAGCAGTAAGATCTTGTAGTCCCTTACAAGAATATAAACAATACTTCAGAATATTTTTGTTATAGCTTTTGTTTGATTCCTTATTCCTTACTTCTGTGCAGCCACATTAGAGGACAGACGTACGAGTTATACAATATAGGCGGATCATGTGAGCAAAGTCTCCATGGAAACTGCCTAATTTGTGCTTTTATTTAATTAGAGTTGTCCATTACCTCTCCAAATGAAGTTTAATTTAAATTCATATGCCAGTCATTTTTTAAATTGTGTATGACTTTTTATCTGTCACTTACTGAGATCTCTTGTAGGCTATATTTTTGCAGAGTGAGTTTATTTAACAATTGAGTTTATAAACAAGATGTTCATTTGACAGCTCAGCCTGTGCAACAGTCTTAACATCCTTGGGACTAATTCTCTATGCACTATCTGTGCTATACTACCCATTGTTATCAATTATATATTCTTAACCTCAGGAATTGTTAACATCTCGGAGCAATTGCTTGAGAGATCCACATGAGTACATTAACTCATTTTGCTTCCTGCGAGATAATTGGGGAAAAAATCGGAGTACAAATAAAAAGTGTAACCAAGAAATATGTAAAATGCATGTGTTTGTTAAATGGAACATTGAAATGGGAAAAACAGTGTGCCTATTGTAAGCTGCACAAAAAAACCCAGCTTGTCTGATACAGACATGGAGATACTCTTAAGAAAAGTCTGAGCTGGTTTAAACTTTCGGGAATGTCTGCCTGAGGGTAAGATAACAAGAACTGATGCGAATTATTTAGAAGTCATCAGTCGTCAGTTGTGCATTGCAAAAACTATGGTCTGCAATACCTGATTTTTATCTTTCTCTGAAGAGCTGGTGGTTGAACTTATAGCGAGAGGCTGTGGAGTGCTCCATAGCTCTTCTCAGGGGTCTGTGCTGGTAACACACACAGACGGAAAAAAAGAGTAAAGTAAAAGGCTGCACATACTCAATAATTCCCACAAATTTGCTGGTGTTGAGACACCAGCAAATATGGAAACAGGGAAAAATACCATAAAACTCATCAAAAATACAGTATTGGGTCAATACATGAAACATGTTACTGTTCTATTTTGTATTCTAATCTATGTATTCTTAAACCAATCTTGCAATTTACAGAAGTTTTACTGACCCAATTTTCCATATGAAGCTCTGTTACAGAAATATGTAAACTAAGTGCCTGGTCCAAAGTCAGTTTTTATTCCAGGATGACAGGAAAGCAATGCAGAAGCAACAAACTGCAGCTCTGAAAGAGGTATAAACAGGGTAGCTCAGAGCTGCACTCAGGCCATTTAGGTGTTTTCTGCATTCATAGTATCACGTGCATATAAGTACTTTTCCGGAATTACAGAAGTGATGTCTGGCACAAAAGAAAATGTTACAGATAGGAAAAAGTTACCATCACAGAGTTGTCAGAGTCCACAATGGCAGAATTGAACTGATTGTGTATAAAAGTTAATAGAAGTGGCCTGAGAATTGTAAGTGGAAAGTGCTAAAGGTGCAACTGGAAGGATTGGCAATAAGGATTCTTCTAGAATAAATGCATGAAGCCTAAAAGGCAGTAGAATTCAATGTGACTGAGAAACATTGAAAAGAACAATGTAAAAGATCTTATAAAAAAGGCATTTATTAATATTATGACACTAGTGATTTGAAAATGGCAAAATTAAAAAATTAATAATTGATGAGCACTAGAACAACTTGCAGAGAGGGATAGATACTGCAGATAATAGCACCTCAGCAGCTTCATGTTATCAGAGATACTGAATAGTAGTAGGTATCACTGGGTGGATTTAAAAACTAGTGGAGAGTTTATGTCTGGATATAGAAAAATATCAGAGTTATTAAATAGCTACTTTGTTTCTGTCTTTTCAGAAGAAGAGGGTGGCGATCTGCTCAAGTCGAGCTTCAGTTTTCCAGGGACGCCAGAGGAGGAGCTAGGTACAGATACCATCTCTCAGATAACTGGTACTGCTTGTGCATCCAGAGGCTGGGCACAGCCGCGGGGTCAGGCAGCAGGAGGCTGCACTGGGGTACAGCCTCTCTTCAGCCACAGAGCCCACAGCGGGCATGGCACCACGTGGTATCAGTGAGAGTGGCCAAAAACCTCTCAGTAAAATCCTTCTGGGAATTTCTCACCTGCTCTATAAGGTTAGAGAATGGAAAGCAAAAAACTATCTGATTTGGGTAACACACATAACTAAGAATTCAAAAGAAGAATTACCAACCTTCCTTCTTTTGTCTTTTTGCCTTACCCCTTAGAGAACACACTAATTGCAGGTGGAGTTTTCAACATTACCTTTTCAATATGAAAAAGTAACAGAAGCAAGGAGAAATCAGAAAATCTTAAATCCCACAAGTGAAATCTTGATAATTCTGTCTTACAAAGCTAGTAGTAAAATGCCTTTAGATTGTGAAAATTGTGTTTCTATTCCTGTGTTTTCATATCCACATTCTCACTGGTTTATGTGAAATCCATCAAAATTTTGATTTATATGCAATTACTTTACATGGGTTTTTTTGGAAGAGAAATATGGAAAGTGGTTTCTGTATGTTTGCTAATTAAAGCTCCCTTTATTCAGTGTGAGCTTACTTACATTTCAGAAGTCAGTGTAATTTTTCTCTTTTTGTGCATATGCTCACATTAATACACTGCAACAGTTTATTTTGTGTTATTAGGATATTGTTGTAGTTGACAAGAATACTCTAAGCTCTCTGCCTGACCGTATTGTTGCACATTGCTAGGAAGATAAATCATAGTTGCTATATTAAGGAAAAGTACACAGCAATTTGAACAAGGAGCATGAATTTAGGCAGGGATTGTCATTATGTTTGAACAACCTCTTAGAACAGGATTTTCTAAAACAAGTAGTGTTGTCACTCAGTTACACTCAAGTCGGGGAGTTCCATAAATGTTCAGTGTAAAAATATCTGTATTGGACTTAATATTCAAAAAAAAAGTGAAAAAAGCTACAGGATAAGTCCAGACCCAAAGACCCAAGAGAAGGATATGTTAAGAAGAGACTGAAGAACCTTTAGGCAGTTTCTGCCTTAATCAAAACAGTGTAAGCAGGAAGATATTGTTAAACATGAGACTTCCTAGGAATCCCACAAGTGGATCCTATGGAGGAGTCATGAAATGAGCAAATATCTCAGCCTTCTTGCACATTTGGAGTTTTTTTGTCCTGATATCCCATTTCACAGCACACAGAAAGAAGTTCAGATGGGTTAGAATCTCATCTAAGAGCTGGAAAGTAATTCAGTAGTAGATGTCTGAACTGTAGATCTCTGGAGTTCCTTTAGAGTCAGTGAAGAGTGATAGGCTTTTCCGGGACATAGGAGGTTTGGCCTACTTAAGAAGTTTAATGTAGAGTGAGATAAATCATGCCCTAGAAGTATGTCAAAATTGTTCTCCTTCCTGTTTGGTTGAGAAAGAACTGCACAATTTCTGAAGCCAAAGTAAATGATATAAAAGTCAACAGTATTAAATTTCAGGTGTCTATAGGAGCAAGGGTCCTCATATAGAATAGACAATAAAGATTGACACAAAGATATGTGCTTACTGATCAATCATACAGCACCCTGACTAAGAAGAAGATAGGGGATTAGTCAGAAAGGAGAAACAGGAAAGCCAAAAAAATGAAATCACAGCCAGACTACAAATAAATTAAGCTTCTTTCAAAACATCTATTTATGGCAAAAGGACTGAAAAAAAACCATGCCAAAAGCAAGAGCAAGGAACAATCTGTCTTTACTCCTCAATCATGTGTCCCTGTTGGAGTTCTCTGAAACTAAGTACCAAAGATCTCTAGATCATACATGGAAAGAGGTGGGTGGCTTTAATATCTGCAGAAGACAATCCTGTCCTCCTGACATAACTACCAAACTGTAGGTGACCAAAACACATGGATTAAATGTTATGATTGGGTTATTAAAATTATTAGAGAGATGCCACTGCCCAGATTAAGGTGCGTATGAGACCATATGCCCAAGTCAATAGTATGGATTTTTATTTAACAGTAAATGCAATATAGAGAAAGATAGAAAGGAGTGGGGAAAAGAGGATGGGGGGAGGAGGAGAGACATAGAGTAAACGAGAAACAAATTAAGTAGAAAAATATCACCACTCCATGAATTATGACAGAAATCTTCTTCTTGCCTTCTCAGTGGTGAGGGTTCCAGTCTTGTCAATTATAGTTGAAGCCTGGCTCCATCGAGGGAAATCCAAGATGGTGAGAGAAACCCACAAAACATAGGGGCGTATATTATGCTTAAGACAGGTGGAAACGTCCCCTGGGGCTGAGAGTTTTACACAGGGTGATGTAGTACTGGATCACAGACATTTCAGGAGTTTTTGACACCTTTTAAGAGTTTACAACTGCCTGTTATGTGAGCACAGCTGAGTCAATTGTGGCCCATTATGGCCCTTCAGCAGACAAGAATGACTTCGGGCTTCATATGAATGTCGGGTGCTTCCCCAGAGGGGAGTTACCACAGCGGAGTCACTTGTGTAAGAATTCGATTCACAGGACTTGCCTCTTTTCTTATCTTGTTCAACACCCAGCCTGTAGCCTGATTTTGAGCCATTAGCATTCCAGTCTCTCACCCTTCTTGATACCTTCTTCTCCTTAGACCTGGGATAGTTGTCTATGGTACCACCTTTATCTTATCTCAAGTTCCCATCACAGTCCAAATTAGTAGGCATTGTCAGGGAGGGCTGGGCTTCAGTGAACAATTGCTTCTTTGCACAGTTTGCTACAGTGAACAAAAGTATTTCAGTGGTTTTAACAATATTTAGGACATTAACCATTTCAGTGTCTCACACTGGATACCATTAGTAAAAACATACGATGTTCCATTCTCCCTTAGAGGAAATCACTGAAATTGGTTGGATAGTTAGTTATATTCTGAGTAGACAAGCTCTGTAGTTACAGCTGTGCTAGTGTGTTACACCTCTACCAATGGGTAGGACATATTTGTCTGTTCTTCTGTCTTTTCTCTAGTATTGTGTTCTGTCACTTGAAGATATGAGTTCAAATCCATTCACTGAATATAACATTAGTGGAAAAATGCAAATTAATAGATATGTCTCAGTCTCCAGTTTTTATTACTGTTGCACAAGTATGAAGTTAAATATTCATTGGAGAGAAATCTGATTCTGGGTGAATACTGTAATCACTGCGCTATGGAAATGGGCTCGCTCTTTTTGTATATACATACCCCAATGACTACTTCATTGTTTGGTGTGAACAGCCTCAATCTGAAGGACTGCTAGAGACCTTCATTCCTGAAGAAAACACAGAAAGGGCTTTCCTGGCAAACTGAAATAGTTTTCCAAGTCAAGGCAGAGTCAAGATGATATTCTTTAAGGTAGTTCTAACTGCAGGGCCATTCATTATTCTAAACTCTCACTGTCCCAAGGAGCTTCAAGTTATGGTCTCTCTGGTACTGAAGAATCTCTGGCTCCAGGCCCTTATTTGTAAAATGGGTTTAGTATTTCCTAGCGAGGTTTCAGGGCTTTGGTGGGGATTAATTAATGTTTGCACTGCATCTCACCAGAGTGAGAATGTTGAATAGTCATTAAATAATATTATTAATAAAATGATCCGCTGCCTTAATTGGAAAAAGGTATCAAGGGAGGGGACTGATCTCAACTCTTTTACACTATTGATTCTATGAAAGACCCCATTAAACAAGCAGAAATGCAATGGATTCCTTCAAAAAAAGCTTACCCATGTGTTCATAGTCTGTTCTTGAAAACAGTATTTTATAGCTTTTCCATTAACATTTATTTGTCAACAGAGTTCAGGGTGATAGGTATTATTGTTGCAAGATTCACACACACACCACAAAATTCTATTCTTTTCACTAGTAATATCTCAAATAAGCAAACTATTGAAGTGTAAGATAAAACATAGGCAGATGTTCTTTCCAAGAATATCAAGGCAGTGGAAGGATTAAAAAATGTTTCTTTTCAGATGCAAAGACCACTTCCTAATAATGCTGCACACACCAGGCCCTCAGGCAAAAACGAGGCAATGCTCCGCCTTCTCCAAGGTTTTTTTGTATTTTCTCTCTCTCCTCCCCCACCCTCCCTGGCCCGAGGAGGTCTTGTTCATGTCTGCAGACATGGTGTGTCTCTGCACACCAGAGAGAGAAACAGCTTACTTATAGCTTCTCCCTGCAACTTTCTCTGAAATGCAGAAGGAAGGAAAAAAACATCTAACCCCTTTGAGAAGGCATTTTGTAATCTTCCTAAGCAAAATCAAGTTTTAGCTTTCCATCTCAAATTCTTCCAAAATTGTACCTATCCCTGCATAAAGGGAGCAGAGCAAGAGATTTGGCATGCATGATCTCATGCAGCTCACTGTAAGTCATGGAAACTGAAGTTCTAATTCCCAGCTTTTGTCTAGCTGGAGTTTATATTGTCTGAATAATGTTAGTGTATTAGAAAATAAACATTTTGTAAAACTACTCTTTTCTATGCTATCTAGAAATTTCTCATGGGCTTATTTACTTTAGCATAAGGCAACATATTGCTTTGTGTGTTAAAAGCAAATAGTGCAATCTTAACAAGAGACGTAGAAAAAGTGCCATGTTTGAATGGCATTCAAATAGTTAATGAAATGTTAACATGAAAAATGGGATGAACTTCTCTTTAAATATAGATTTTAATAGGTAACATGCAAAAAATAAAGAGGGAAAAATAGATTATTGAAAAACTATTTTAATTCCTTTTTACAGGTAAGGAAAACATTTATTTTGCTTCAGTTTTGTGCATAGCCACTTCTAATGTCAGGCAAAGAAAGGGAACTTGAACTAAAGTCTTTTTGTTTCAGTAAATTACAGTTTTCTCTTCAGGAACAGATATTAATTTGATGTTATGAAAAAGGCCGAAACCAGTAAACCAGGTTGCAGTTACTAATAATGCTCTTAACCTGCCCCAAATGCAAAGTAAACTCTAAAGG